AACTGATCAATTGCCTCTTTAAGTGAAAAATCAGTAGTATTAGGAACATGCTTTATGCCCACAAATCTTTCAACTTCTTGTCCATTGATATTCACATAGCGAAGTACAACTATCATTTGCTTCTTGACTAATATATCACCCGATTCATCAACCAAAATAGAAAGGAAAGCATCATCACCAATATCAAACATGATAGCAATGGTGGTTTCACATGTTGCTACATACACAATATCTTTTTGAATATCAAGTGATGTTAACTTGAGATTTTCAGGAGCATTTTTAAACACCACATATTTAATCCATCATTATGATCTACAAGCAACTTCAAAAGCTCAAGAAAACCACCATTATTGCTTGAATCTTCATTTCATCATGACTGCGAAAAGTAAGACCTTGTTGCAATAAAAAGCGAATGCAATCAAGTGATGCATTTAAACAAGTGTGATAATCAATAAATGCTTGATCTAACTGCTTGTGGACAATTGCTTGAATATGTTGATTATGATTCATTAAAGCTTCAAACTGAAGTAAAGCTTGGTTCTGAGCACCATAAGGGCCTTCAACATGAACTTGAAGTCGACATTTTTTCTTCCAATTATGAAAACCTTTGCTAGTAAAATTGTCATTACCTACTTGGTCTGGAATATCTAACTTGAAGAGATAACAACTTCGACAGAAAACAACATTTTTGGATATGCTATACTCCAACCAAGTAGGAAAGTCATTGAACCATTTCGGATTGAAACAACATTGTACTTCTACAAATGACATATATAGAAATTGATGGGTTCGAGATTGACCCAATTCCCTTTGTAAAAAAGCTTTTCGGACCTGATCTCTAATATTTAGATCATATTCTAATATCTGGAGTCAAAGCCCAGGATCTCCTGGAAGATTTGCCAGTATCCTTTCTATGTCATTTTCATTTGAGCTTTCAGGAATATCCGTTGTAAAGGGTGAAAGGTTATCTTCGGTTGATTTTCTCTTAAAATACCTATCTGTTTCAAATAATACCAAAAAGAATCAACAACATAATATAAATTTGATCAAATTAACAACAATTGACTCAATCAAATTATAAGTAATAAAAAACACTATTAGGCAATTTTTGTCTTCAGTGATTGAGGCTTGGCTAATGGAATTAACTAATGAAAAATTAGGAATTATATAATTAACTAATGAAATTTGGAATAAACAAATTATGAACATATTTGCATATGCACTAAAAGAATATATAATTTGACTAAATTATACTATATTCAAGAACTTTTTTCATGCCTAATGTTATAAATGTATACGAGGATGACACTCTGCCCCTCTCATGCCTAATTCTAAATTGGAATTGAAGGAAAAACAGGAATAACTCTCAGACCTAATCCTTATTTTATTCATAAATGAAATTGAATGAAACCTTAAAACCCACAATAAATCTAAGATAACAAAATTGTCAATGATTGGAAATTTGGAGTGGAGGGTACCTGATTAAACTTGACGAACAGAGAAAGTTGAAATTTGAATGGATATGGCACCAGTGGTATGGTGGAGTCACGCGCGTAGAGAGAAAACCTCAAATGTGTTATGGTGGAGCAGCTGGTGAACGTTAAAATAGAAAAATTATTAATTAAAAATTATTTTTTATTTTCTTATATTTTGTTGTTGCTTGGCCGAAGAGGTTACATGTGGGCTCATGTTGGGTGACCCAACTTAGGTCAATATTTGTTGGCCATTGTGGCCCATGCAACCGTTGTTGGCTGTTGCTACAATGCTATTAAATGGGTCAACTTGTTTTTTAAAGGAACAAGTTACAAAGCTATTAAGGTCAAGGGAGCCCAATGCCCTCACGTTGGCTCCGCTAGTGATCATAACATTAAATAATTAAGCCATTTAATTGTACTTTACATAATATACGATCTATTAGGTTCTAATTAGTGAGGCAGTAGACGATTAAAACTCTTACTAATCGATTATAAATTGAAACTACCTTCTTTTAGTGAAGGTTAGTAAGTGCTAATCCTCAAAGCTTCTACAAGTTATGATTGGCACCTAGCAGTGTGTAGTTACCCAGACTAACCAGAAGAGGCAGAAAACATATTTAGTTGGAAATACAATGCAATACAGCCATTCTCTAAATCAATATTGTTCATCACGTTGTTTGGTTAATAGTTAATTCATGTCTACCATCCAATGTGATTATATTTTCTATATGATTCATGTGATCGTGATTTGGAACATAAGTCTTAAATCACATTTATGTGCACTGGCCAGAGACACTGAATCATATCATAGAATATTCTTCTTCAATGGTTGAAGATTATAGATCCATTATTGTACACTCACATACATTTATGCATAAGTCTAGGACCCTAATAATGCATGGAACAAACCCTAGGGTTATGACGCATCGTCAAATGATCAAAGACGTATCCACAAGATAACTATGATATCTCTGGTCAGATGACTACTTTGCATTATCCCAACCAAAGAGTTCTTACATGACATGATTATGAGAATTTATGTTTGATTGTGCTCAGTGAACTCATTCTCCATTGAGCATTTACATACTTACCTTAGTGTCTTTCACACCGATGACTGGAGACCAGTCACTCTCTGAAGAGAGAAAACATAGCATTTACAAATACATTCAATGGTGAACCTACAGTAGCTCAATAAGGTGCGACCGCCTCTATGGTCGTCGAAAATTTACATGAAGGGCAAGGATTCTGCCCCTCCGATGGGCAAAAGGCCACATGAAGAGCCATGGCATCAGTAGGCTACCCGTTGCAACAGAGGGTAGCTCCCGTGCAAGGAAGAAGAGATAGAAAAAGTTGTGTTAAAGAAAAAAAACTTAGACAAGACACCATCGTTTCTTTCCATTCCTTTAAATGAAACAATGGCTATCATGGTTGATTTCGAATTGGTGATCGAATTTTCTAAAATATTATTTTAGAGAGTGATTCGCTTCAGATTGTTTTCATATTGAATGATTCTTCTAAGGATTTGTTGACTGTTGGACCAATCATAGAGGATGCCTAAATCATGATAGAGATGATCGCTGAAGTTTTTATTGCCAATGTTCGCTTACATGCCAACTCTATCACCTATAGAATTGCTAGGTTTGCTCTCTATTTGGGGGTAATTCTACTTGGTTTGTCGATCCTTCTTATTTTATCTGTGATCTTCTTAAGGAAGACCTTTCCACTCTTTGTACTATTTAGCCTAGGTTACTATTTTGAATGAAATATATCGTCTATCATCCAAAAAAAAAAAAAATGAAATGTCTTTTCTCCATTTTTTTTCTTTCCTTTTTGTGTCCTTCTATCTTTTTGCCGTTTGACTTGGTCCCTTTGTTTTTGGTTAAATGGTTTGGCTTGGTCCCTCTTTCTTTTGGCTGGATCTTTTAATTGGTCCCTAATTATATTGTTTAGATGTGATATACTTTAAAGACGTAATTGAGTGCTTCAATGAAATACTTTAGATAAACTGTTCCCACAAAATACCACATAAAATAAGACTTTCAATACTAAATGTTACCTTAATGTTATTAAAACAATATAGGGGAGGTTATTTAATACTCAAATTTATATACTTTTTCTTGTCATCACTACTTTTAATGAATTTCTGATGTGACTTTGAGGACTTTTTAGATGATATACAAAAGTTTTATGAGGAAATGATATCAAAAAATCAAAGCATAAAGTTCCATGATTCACAAACTTCTGTTACTATCATGTGAACTTCTATTTTCAAGTCCTTGGTACGCAACTAAAAGAATTGAATGATTGCTTCAATGAGGTAAATATCGAGTTACTGGTTGAAACCGCTTCGGTGGAGAGAGTATTTTTTGTTATGAATATTGTGAAAACACCAGTGCTTATTAAATAAGAAATTAATGGTTGAGTGATATTATGATTGTTTACATTGAGAGAGATGTTTAGCTTTTATTGGTAATGAGCTTATTATGCGACGTTTTAATGATATGAAACATTGCTATCAACAATCGTAACTTGTTGTATTGATAAATTATAAACGACATTAATTGTCTACTATTTTAAAGGATTTAGTTGTCTATTTTTTTGGGACTTTTTACCTTTTAAATTTTGCCTACTAATTTAGTTTTTCAGGTAACAATAGTTTTGAGTGTTTGTTATGCTTGTTTGATATTGACAACCTGCAAATATTATTACTTGAAAACCTTGGTCGTTGTTGTTAATCTTGATTGGATTGCATTCACGTAGTTGTTGTTAAAACCACCAAGTCCTAAAATTGATGGATAGGCTTGGGTTCTTAGGCTGTTATATACGCATGGAAAAAATCACAAAGTGGGTATAGTTGGGGATTTTTAAATAGAGGTATTTGATCCCCTCTTCCACCCTTGAATTTGTAAGGAGTTGTCAATTTCTCCTCTAAACTTTAATTTTAGCTAATTACTTCCTGAACTTTTATAATTGGCCAATTTTACTCCTGATCTTTAATTTTAGCCGATTACTCTTCTGAATTTTTATAAATGATCAATTTCCCCTCCTAGCCATGTGCATTACGTTCCACGACAAATTGACGATAGACTAGAGAGGAGAGAGTTCAGGGAAGCGAAATGTGAGGTTGCTTGTTCTCTACCTACAAGGTTATCAGCATTAAGGCTTCCAGCCCTACTTGCAAGCTATGCAGACAATATGACCCTAAATTTTAAATTCAGGGGACAAATGACTCACAGCAATGAACATAAGGTTTTTGTTTCTTAGTGAAGAATCTATGTGCTTTCAACAAACTTTCACACAGCAGATGATTAATATAATAGTAAACTGTGTCAAAACGAAACAGAAGGCCTAACGGCCAATTAGATAGAAGCATTGAATTAATCCAGCTTTAAAACCTGATTGTCTAAACTTGCTAATACTGAAACCTCGTGACAGTTAATATCAAGATTACCCTAAACCTTGAGGGTAAAAATGTAGTTAACCTAAAAATAAAAAACATTCAATAAATAGTGATGATTCAACAATAAACCACACCATTATATTATGCATATCATTAAATTCCCTTACAATGCGCTTCAGTTGCAATACCATATTGTACAATACAACAATATACATGCAGTATTGTAAGCCATAGCTAGCTAGATGATTCTTAATAACATTTATTTATGAAATTGTTTAAACTACACCACACTTGGCAATAAGAATACTAAACCATTACTCAAAGCATAGTTGCTTCTCTAACACTCAAATATGTCATCTGGTATCGTTAGCGGATATGTATTGTCAGTCGCCATTGGTATAAAGTTAGTAACTCCAGTGTTCTCTTCAATCTGCATAAAATAAATAAATATATTTAAGATCAATGACTTAAAAAGTAAAATTTAGTATTTTTCACAAAAATAATTGTAACAATAGTGCTTCAGTTATACCTAGCCTTGGCCCCTAAATTGGTATTTTGAATTTATACCCACACATTTAACAGTTGTTACTTTGGTCTGGATGTCAAGGTCTGAATATTTTCATTATTTGGTCTTGAAGGACCAAATTGAAAATTGGCTGATAATTAGCTGACTACAGCTACAATTTACTCATAAACTTAATAAGAATGTTGATTACCTTATCTTGAAGATACTTATTTGCAGCTGTCAGAACTTCTTCCTTCAAAATACCAATTTAATTATTTTAGAAGATATAAAAAAAACAATTAAATCATTAATAGTATCAATAAACATAAAAATTCAATAAAAAATCCAAAATTAAAAGTTTAATTTTCATAAGGTCATGTATGTGCCCACTTAAGTGGCAAGTGATGGATAAGATAATGATTCCTAGCTGTATTCTCCTTGAAGTAACAAAAAAAAAAAAAAAATAATGAAGTCAAGCTCCACTGCCAAAAGCTTTGGAGGCCATGAACTGCTCTCTTCCAAAAAGTTCAAGTACCAAGGGAGTTAGGCAACATTAGTAAAAAGAAACAATGCACTTAAAATTCTAGATATAGGGATTTAGGAGTTCAACACTATTGTAGTTTGGTGGAGCCTTACAATTTAAAGTATTACTAACAGAAGGACATGGTTGTTATTTTTTGGAGGATAAAAGTCGATAAATCATGAGTATCATAATGGGGCATAAATTTATCTTAAGGACCGAATGTTGAATATTTGTCTTTAAGTAGGTTTATCTAACACATATTCATGGGCATTTGACATTTTTTTTGCTTGTGTGTATGTATTAAAATTGATATTTGATTGCATGTATTATTCTTGGCTTTCTATGTGATTAAATATAGCAATCAGATCTTATTTTTTCAACATATGGTGTGCGGGTGGGATCAGGGTGGAAGAGATCCGAAGGTGGCAGACGAGGCTGATGGTGGTGGAGACTGGAGATGGTTGCGGGAGATTATGGGAGGTGGCTGGGTTAGGTTTTTTTTTTTTTTTTTGGGTAGTTTGCTTTTATTCTTGGTTAGTTGGCTATAATTGTTAGAATTTGGACATTTTTTTGGTCAAAGAGTTTTAATGCATTTCAAAGACTTCAAGTTTTAAACGAAATCTAAAAAGAAGACGGCATTGACGTGAATTTTGAACGACATTGATCAATTTTTAACTTTTTTTCTTCTCTTGCGCACTTCTTTAATCATATCTCATCGAATTAAATAACCAAATGAAATTAAAGAATAAGATTAAACAAAAGTGTGTAATTATATTTTTCCTATTTAAATCGAGAGCTCTAATCGAATAACACAGTATCATATATTGTCGATCCAATGTATGATCTCATCAAAAAGTAAGTAGGGACTTTGGATAGCAAACTTACCGAGTTCCTCAACAGCTGGATCTCTTGGAACAAAATGTCCATCTGTAAAATTTGATGACTCAGTCTTCGAATTAATTTCTATAACATGAATTAACTGTTGCTTAAATATAATTTACGGACTGTGATAAAAAAAAGTAATAACAACATAAGTAATTAAATTAAAATAAAAACGTTACCTTTGCCGAGCGGACGTGATAAATCCATATTTCAAGATTTTTTTCAAGCACTTGTAGTTCATCCAAAGTCATTGTCCCAGCACCTCCATCAAACATATACCTGTAATGTTTTTGTAAGTTATCCAATTCCTTTAAACCAAAATTACAAACATTACCAAACTAATGATATATGTGTTGAAAGTTTATGGTTTTGTTTGGAAGTGTTTTTAAATAACTGAAAGCGCTTTTGTTCAGAGTGCCTCTGAAACCAATCATTAGTAAAAATGAAAGTGAATTTTGGAATATCACTTAAAGTACTTCTTACAAGAAGCACATAACTAGTGCATCTTGCAGGAAGCGCACTTCAAGTGCTTTTGGGCAAAAACACTTTCACTTAAAATGCTTTTAATCATTTTAAAAACACTTTCAAATGGGTACTTCTCCAATTCATAAACTTTGAGGTCAATTAATTTAAACTAACTACAGACATGTGACGTTGCTAGAATTAACCATACCAGAAAAACTATTAGATATACCAGATATTTGCATTATCCTTGTATTATGGTAATTAGTAGACTCCATGGATTTAACTCCATATATATTTTTGTCATATATAATTGTTAGAAATATGTAGATACAATCACATGCAAATATAAGTTATATATATTGATGTCATGAGAATAAATAAGGTATTAATTATAATGTTACTAATTTGCAATACCTGAGGCCTTTCTGCAATATTTCAATCTCCTGTTTCAGCAAGTTAATCTCCTTTTTCGCATCCTATATATCAATACAAAGAATAAGGGAATTCAACTTAGGTTTAGAGTCGTAGTTGGCATCCATGAATATGCCCTAATTAAGTCAATAAAAAAGGATTGTAATTATCGTAGATGCACGATGTATTTATGGTTTCACCTCTCTTTCCCTAATGTATTAAATAAAATAAAAAATAGGATAAAGTACAAAAAACTACCTCAACTATTGGTGTCACGACACTTTCATACCTTATCTTTTAAAATTGACAATGTCATACCTCATCTTACGAATTTATGCCAATGTCAGACCTCTGTCAATTTTTCTGTTACTTTTTCTATTAAATGCTGACGTAGCCAGAGATGGGACCTATTTTTATTAAAAAAATAATTAAATATTTTTAAAAATAATTAAATATTAAAAAATAAAATAAAAACAAAAAAAAACAAAAAATCGAAAAAAACCCATCAACCCGTGTCCCCCCTCCCCAAAAACCCAGATCCCCTTATCTGAGTTCTCTCCCACCCAACCCTCTCTCTCGCCTCTCTCTCTTCTCTCTCCCTGCAACATGCATCCCTAAAATCCCAAAACCTAGAAATCCTTCCCACCCGTCCCCCCAACCTTCCTCTCTAATCCCACCGACAACAACCCTACCTCTGTCGTTGACTCCAGCGATGACAACCATGACCTCCAATTGCCCCCAAACCCTAACTCTATCCACAACCTCCACAACAACATTCCTCTCTCCTCCTCGCCCCTGGAGTCTGCCCTTCCGGCAATTTGCGAGAGAAAAACAAAACAATAACAACAACAACAACAACGATCCCAATAGAAAAAAGTCTCTGTTTTTCCCAGAAAATTCCTATATTTTCTGAGAAAACCAGAGGAGGCGTGAGAAACAGAGAAAGAGTTGTGATCTGAGAGTGGCTCTCTTTGGTTTGAGTTTTCAATAAATGGTGTATATAGGCGGGTCAGATGAGGAGGACAGAGTGGAGGTGAAGTCCATGGCGATGGGTTCTGAGAGGGTGAAGCCTCTACACAATTTCAACTTGCTGTGGTATTTGAAGTGGGGGAACCGGAAGCATCTGCGGTGCTAGAAGGAGAGCTTCGACGCCAGCGGGAGTGGCGAGGAAAGGTCTGGGGTTAATCAGTGATCGTCAGCTCAGAGGATTGAGAGCTCACCGGTGGTGATGACTCGGGTGGGAATGGTTTCTGGGTTTTGGGATTTTAGGGATGCAAGTTGCAGGGAGAGAGAAGAGAAATAGGCGAGAGAGAGAGAGGAGAGAGAGGGTTGGGTGGGGGAGAACTCAGAGAAGGGGATCTGGGTTTTTGGGGAGGGGAGACACAGGTTGATGGGTTTTTTTTTGGTTTATTGTTTATTGTTTTTTTTTGCTTTTATTTTTTTTATTTTTTAATATTTTTTATTTTTTATTTATTTTTTTAATAAAAATAGGTTCCGTTTTTAGCCACATCAGCATTTAACAGAAAAACTGATGAAGGTCTGACATTGGCACAAATTTATAAGATGCGGTATGACATTGTCAATTTTAAAAGATAAGGTATGAAAATGTCATGATACTAATAGTTGAGGTAATTTTTTGTACTTTACCCTAAAATATATAACATAAAGTAAGACATAAAATCAATTAAATACAGGTATGTGTACGTACGTAATGTCGTACATACATGCATATCACTAAACACCCTCCAATCGGAGTGAATTACTTTGTAAGGATAACTATAAATTGATGACCTAAAAATGATCGGTCCAAATCATGAAAAGTATGATGTCAAACCATATGAACATGAGTGGTTAGCTATGTATTAAAATACTGGTTAACAATTGAGTTTACTGAGTTTTTCTTAAAATACTGGTTAACACTTGAGTAAACTCTTTTGAAACCCAAACAATATCATGTATCCATGTTCTATATATTTTGTTTATTTTGTTTATTTTATTATTCTAGCTAAGCGTGTATGTCTGTGTATTTAATTAACTTTTGTAATCTTGTAAGCATCATTCATAACCAGCATCTGATGCTGCACTAGCTTTATGAATAAGAATGCCAATAATATTCGTTTTATACGTGGTACAGTATTCAACATCTGTAAAATATGTGTGTGTGTTCTCCTTTAAACTGTGTATAACATGAGATGTTATTTAGTGTGATGAAACAAATAAATGACATAAATTTGACAAAAGAAGTGACAACTTAAACAACAAGATATACCATACCAAAGTCTGTGTTTCCACGGTTTGTTCAGCATGAGACACTCGGGTGGGCTTCATCTTCATGTACCTCTCAATAAGCCCTTGCATGCTTCTACCATAATAAATAACAAAGCAAGTTCAATTAGAATTAATCTCAAACAGTTAATTAACACTTAGGTCTCTACCGATTGTAAATTTTCTTTCTACTAAGAGTACATGCAATACTTAACTATATGATATATGAAACTATCTACTAAAAAATATACAGGATACACTATTATTATACAGAAATAGATAGAGAGAGCTAGCGACCCTTTGGTGGCTAGTTCAAAGAGCTTTCCATGGGAGGAGAAAATGAAAACTCCAATCTCAGCATCACACAGCACAGACAGCTCTTTAGCCTTCTTTAAGAGTCCCGCCCGGCGCTTGCAGAAAGTAACCTGCCTGTGAACCGGGTTCTCGATCCTCTTCATCTGAACCTTTCCACGAGCCATATCGACCAATCGATCAATCGATGTATCTAGGGTTTGACTGTATATATATACGAGTATTTATGGTTGATTCAGAAATTTGGTGGCTGTTTAATTTCCTTTGCAGACAACCTCCCACTAGTTTGGACTAGCTTCGAGGTTGTTGCAATAATCTCCTCTTTCTGAATTTACCGACGCACAGTTTGCCTCTAAATATCGAGAGCTTAGTGCCTTATATACCCTTACGTCGATTCCAATCTATCTCTTCAACCCATGAATAAGAGTAATGCGCACCTACTTTTACAAATCACTGAGCTTTGTTTAACATTAATTGATTTAACCTCTCACATAATTAGCTCCCTTTATTCTATCATGCTCTCTATCTCCAATAGAATTTCAGCCCCACCATTTCACAAAGTTAATCACATTGCCCCACGTTATGTATCAATGGTTAATTTAGTCATTACATTATAATATTATAGTGCGTGAATCATGCATAAACCAAATCTTTTTCAGTATCTCTACAACTTATATGTGAAGTGTAAACTAATTAAGTCTCTTATTGTTAACATTTATTGAATCACGTTAATTGATAGCTGCAACTTTAATAAGACTGATTATTCCTACATTAATTAGTGTGCTCACTAGCTGGGTGAATCCATTTAGATTTCCGTTACCTCTTAGGGTTAGCTTAGAATTACTTATTCTCGTTATTTTTTTTTTAATTTTTGTAAATCAAGTAATTTATTTGCACTCTAAATCACGGACTTGTATAAACATGTCAATACTAAATCATCTAATTCTCTAAATTCTAGAATCACTCTGTGTTGAAAAGGTGATATATAGTATGTCATCCTCTCATCCCATGCGTAGGTTAACATTGGTATGGCCCTTGCAGAACTAGATTTGGTATCCTCATTGACCATTCAACACTCTCAGGTGAAGGAAAAGTGTATTTGATCCTCAGTGGTCATTCAACACTCTCAGGTGAAGGAAAAGTGTATTTGTGTGGGATAGTTGAAGTCTAGTCAGCATGCAATTTGAAAGCTTTTTTTCATGTGACGCACATCAACACCAATGAGCTGCCCATGCTTGGTTGCTAGCTTTTGCCTCTCCTTTTTCCACATCCTTTTGGCCTTGCCTTCACGGATTGCGCCCTTTGTATCTGTGACAAAACCCTTGCCTGGTTTAAGCCTTCCAAGCTTATTATACCGGTTAAAATATTTAGAGTGCCTCTGAGTATTTTATATTCAAGTGTTTTAACCGTTATAACAAATGTTTAACAATTAAAACATTTGAAATATTCCATACTTCAAGATATTGTAAAAAATCCCTTGCATATTTTCGTTATAACAAATAGTTTAACGATTAAAACATTTAGAATATTTCATACTCTGAGATATTGTAGAAAATCCCTTAAACATTTTGCTTTCTCCATTAACTTTTTTCTGAAGAAAATATACTCACAAATGTCAGGTCAGCTTTCTCCACTGTCTCCCTACAACTATATTTTAATTTCGAAGAATTTAGTTATTATTATTTTTCTTCATCTTTGCTGAGAAGCCAAGAATCTTTGTCAAATCCCACACGTTCAATACAATTCAGTGCAGAGATCTGTCTTCGACATCTTGGATCGGATAGGCTCCATGAAGTGGCTTAGAAAGCCGCCGCGTGGATGCATATAGTTCTTTTGCAGTGTAAAGCTTGATTCCAAAAACCTTTTGCGATCACACTCAACCGGCCACTTATCAGGTTTCAAAAGTTCAAAAGCTGAAATTAGACTCTACATAAATAATGCCGCTATGCAGAAACAGTTCCTTTTAATTTCCCAAATAATTAAATCTTTGCGCCATTCGTATGTACCAGTAAGCCAAGATTCCATCATCGTTTTCGGCCATGGCTTGAAAAGCTTTGAAAAATAAAACCCTAGACAGTCGAATGTACGGACTTTTTTTTTTTTTTTTGGGGGGGGGGGGGTGGTCGGGGGAAGATGTACGGTCTGTTTTCGTCTTCTATGATCTGGTATTTTCAACTTAAAGTATTATTATAATAGCTAGAGCCTAAAGTGAGAAAAGAGATGGAAGATGAGGAAAAAGCTTATATGAGAGGGAAAACATGTGTATTAGTTGGTTACATATTTGTCTATATGGTAGTTTATTTGAAATTTAAGTTTTATTTGAATGTTTAATAGTAGGTGGGTTTTTGTTTAGAAAATAGGAGATTCAAGGCCTAATTTCTAAAGAAACCTATTAATTATACAAAAATTAAGATTAAGAACTCGGTTATTTAACAACTCACTAGTTAATCAATGAATAGAATCTTGAATTATAAGCGAAGAAAGTTGAGGTTTCACTATTTATACGTACACGAAGATGGGATTAATTCTCAGTACGCCTCCTCACGTCTGACAAATTTTTAAGTCTAACACGTAAACAATACAAATGGAGTGCCTTGGAGTTCATGTTGCTTTTGGGCTTCCCACGTGAGGTAGCCTAGCTCCAATACCATGAAGAAAGTTAAGGTTCCATCATACAATCAATTGGCTATATGAGGAATAACCCAACTACTTATGAACTCATGCAAAGTTCATTCTCTCATCAATGTGAAATTCATTCTCAACATTAATTCTATCACAACATTAGATAAACTTAAAATTTTGGGGTGTGTGGGGGTGTGCTATCCACACACTCCATTTTACTTCTTACACACCCCTTGATAATTTTTGTTCGTTGATCTTCTTCAATTTATCTAATCCGACGGCCGAAAATTAAAAAGGTATGTGAGAAGTAAAATAGGGTATGTAGATATCATATCCCAAAATTTTATATATTTGTTCATATTAAAATCATAGTCGTGAATATCAACGGTTTAACTCATTATCTACATTTTATATATATGTTAAAGCCCACGGGTTGAACCTTTGCTCCTTAACGTGTATAAGTTCTAACTTCAAACTTAATGTAGTTTTCTGACTTGGTCGGCTTAAGCTCAATCTAAATATGGGCGGCCTCACTAGGCTTAGTGAGCCTTTTCGGCTTTTTAATTGTAAGTTGATAAACCATTTAACTAGTTGGGCTTGATGGTTCAATGCAGAGTAAGTTATAAAGTTTGAAATTAACTTAAGGCCCGATTCCAACTTGTTCATTTGATTAACTAACATTTAGTCATCCTAACCAAAAACAGTTAGATTATTTAATTATATTTTACACAGTATATGATTTATTAGGGTTTAATTAGTGAGGTAGCGGGGGATTATGAATTGAAACTACCTTTCAGTTCTCCTTTACTAAAGATTAGTAATTGTTAATCCTCAGGGGTTCCACAAGATATAATTGACACCTAGCAGTGTGTAGCTACTCATGCTAACTAGAAGAAGTAGAAAACCTATTCAGTTGGAATTACAATTCAATATGTTCTCTAAATCAATACTCTTGATCACATTGTTTGGTTGATAGTTTATTCCTGTCTCCATCTAATGTGATTTTCTCTTATCTATATGATTCCCGTAAACATGATTTGGAACATACATCCTATATCACATTCTCTCGCTCTCTTCCCTCTTCACCTCCCCAACCTTCGTCCCCTCCCTTCACCACCAAAACCTCAACTTCTCCCTCTCTGTCACTTTCCTCAATCACAAGCCCCTCCTCGACTACTTCACTGGAAAGATCTCCTCCTCCGAATCCATCGAGTTCCTCCTCCCTCCCCAGAATGACACCATACATCACCCCAAAATCTCAATCGCCCTCAATTTCGCCAGCAACGACAACCACATCAGCAACAACAACGACGATTACGCTGCTTTGGATTCTAGGGTTTTCACTCAAATTGAGACACCAGTGGATGACAGAGTGGATGGACGAGGGGGTTTTCACTCGCGGCGCTGGGCGAGGGGATTGGTGGCATGAAACCTAGCATAGTAGGGCAGGCAGAGAATGACCAAGTCGACTTTGCAGGGAGATGAAGGTTGGGGAAAGAGAAAAGGGGTGGGGGTGATGAGGTAGGAGACGGGTGGGTTTTGGGTGGTGTGGGCTGGGGTGGGGGTTGTAAGGGAGGTAGGGTGGGGGGAGGGGGGTTTGTTGCGGGGGAGGTGAGGGTGGGGTGGGATGGGGTGTTTGGGTTGCAGGGAAGAAGATGGGTTTTTTTTTTTTTTAAATAAATAGGGTAAATTATTATAATATTTTAAATGAATAAAAAAAATATTTTTGTTGCCACGTGGCACAAATTTAGCAGCCACGTCAGCTCTTAATAGATTAATGGATAAAAAATGTAACGGAAGTACTATATTGAAATAAAATAGTAGGTGAGGTATGAAAGTGAAATGTTTTGAAGATGTTGTATGAAGTTATAATAGAACCGAAACATGAGGTGGTAAATTGCAATTTACCCTTAATATTTATATTCAATTGACAACATCGGTAATCAAATAAATTTTTTAACATATCACATTTTGACATTTTTTTTTTCGAAGCTCTAAAGCCGCTATAGAGGTTTTTTTTTTTTTTTTCTACAAAACAATTGTAGTTTTTGGTCACACACGGTTGCTGAAATTTAAAACGGTTTTCTTGAACCATTGTCTAATTTAGCATGAACAGTTGTTGTTACATATTTTATAGCAATTGGACCACTGTTTAAATATTATCATTGTTTAATACCGGATTAATAAAATGCTTAAACAATAAGTTTAAGGAATAGATAATTGAGGGAATATAATGTAAAGAAGTTAGATTCGTGAGACATTTTTCTCTTGAACACAAACGTTTCAGATCATAGGATTGCTAACTTAGTATTAACAATCCGGTAAGATTAGTACATTCTATGTCTTCTCTCTTCAGAGAGTGATTAGTCTCAAGTTATTAGTGTGAAGACATTAAGACAAGTATGTAGGTGCACAATAGACAATAAGTTCATTGCGCACAATCAAACATAAGTTCTTATAGTCATGTCATATGATAACTCACTGGTTGGATAATGCAAAGTAGTGCTATGACCTAAGACACCATAGTTGTCTCTTTTATCATTTGACGATGTGTGATAGCCTCAAGGTTTGTTCCATGCATTACCGGGGTCATAGACTTATTCTTAGAGGCATGTGAGTGTACAATAAGGAATCTTTAACCTTCAATCATTGAAGGAGAATACTGTATGATATGATTCAAGAGTTTGCAGGGATGGTGAAAATAGTGA